ATATCACCAGACTTTTCGCGTCCCGGAAACTACGTTCTCAATGTCCCAGTGGCGATCATCTTAAGATTTTTACACCATCGTAGACAAAAGTGTGTACATAATCGAGAAACTTGTTCAAAAAGCCACAGAAGAAAGAAAGAGAGAGAGAGAGACAGAGACAATATTTTCTCCTTGCTTGCTTTCGATGATCGCAAACTACGTGCTTTTTACATCTCTCGTTATTTTTGATAAAATTACATTTCAGAATTTTGACGAATCAAGTTTTACGATTCTTTTTTATTCCCAATTACCCATATAAAAAAGAAAAAATTCTGCAAAATTTCAAAATTACGATCCATTTTTTAAGGATCTGATGATTCATATCAAAATTATTATAGTTATTTTTCGAATTAGCGCAGTTGATAAAATTCATTTTTATAACGAATTTTTTTTACTGTTTGGTGAATTTTTACTTAATTTTTATTTGGTAGAATATTATTTTACCAAAAATTTCTCTTCATACAAGTGAATGAATTCCTAATTTAATCAAATTTTAATATAGCAGAATTTTTTTTTTTAAAACCCCGAATTTTTATTTATTCGAAATTAAAATTATGACAAATTCTCATTTTGATAATAGAATTTCTAAAACGACGAATTTTTGTCATTTGACCCAAATTGCAAATGTCCGAACAAACATAACCTACATTTCTTGTTAATTTCTTATTGATTATAGTTTCAAAATTCGCGCCAAATTCTTTTTCTAGGTTATGTTTGTTCGGACATTTACAATTTCGGTCAATTGAAAAATCGTTTTTTTTTTAAAGAATTCTATATGAAAATGAGAATTCGTGAAAATAAAAATTCGAACAAATAAATATTCTTTGAATTAGAAATATATATATTTAAAAATATCACTTAAAATTTCCATTAAATGAAAATTAGGTTAAAATTCATTTAAAAAGAAACTATAATTCGTAAAATGAAAATTCGGCTAAAAAAATAATAAAAAATTCTTTAAATCGAAAATTTTAAATAATTATTTTTTTTGCGCCCCATATTTTTTAATGAGTAGAGATTAATTGAGAGATTGTAAAAAAAAAAATTCCTGAAATGAATAAAAAAAAAAAGAAAAATAATATTAAATAAAAGGGAAATAGTAATTTTTTAATTAATTAACAAGAAACAGTTTTTTTTTTTAGCTATAACCTGTATTTGACAATGGGGTGTTAGTGAACGAATGTATAGGTGCGATAACATTATTGATGTTGCGAGGATATTCACCTAACAACGCTTACGTACAATTTGAATAATAAACAATATTTGATTATTGTGCCTATTTACAAGTATATAATTTTTTCGTATAAACAACAACAATTTTCTTAGAATTTATATACAAAATGAGAATTTTTTTTTGCACTAGTAATGAAAAAGCAAACTAAAAAGGAATTTGATTTTATTTATATAAAAAAAAGAATCATCTGTAACGGCAATAAGTATCCCATTATACAAAAATAGTGAAAGTTTTAATTGAAACAATTAAAAATTTTGCTATTAGAGTGAAATCTTTCAGCTGTTTCAGATAAATCTTTTTTTTCCGTAAGTATATAAAAAAACAGCTTTTTTTTATTTTAAATTGAATTTAAAAAAAAAATTAAAAATATCTATTAAAAAATTTAATGTATATAGAGGAAGGTATTTTTAATTAATTTTTGTTAAATTCAACTTTTTTTTTTGTCTAAATACAATTTGAGCAAAAATCGAGGAACAAAATTTTATACAATGGAATTCAATTCTTTTTTACCTATAATTTTTCATGAATGTCGCTTTTCCAAAAAAAAAAAAAAAAAAAAATGAGTGCATTTTCCTAATTGCGTCATAAATTACACGTATACTTATTATTAGCGCTCTAAAAGTCTGATTGCGCAATTTATTTATATTCACAGCTGAAAATCTCCCGTTGACCTTTTACAACTATATATTTTCGTATTTTACAAATTTGTATTTTTCTACATTCGATAACTATTTATATAATATATATATAATTATTTATATTTGTTACATTCCTTACAAAAATTTCTCTCAATTTCTAAATTTACATTTTTATTTCACTGTTTGTGAAAATTTTATACTTAAATCAACGAAATATATATAATATAAGAACCAAAAAAAAAAATCAAGTAAAAACGGGCAAAAAATCTGCAGACTTTTAGCGTACAAAGAATATATCGATAGAATTTTACAACAGAAAGAAAAAATTTGAAAATTTTCTCTTATTTTAAATATTATACATATACTTTTTCTGGACATATACAACGTGGAAAAAAATATTTACCTCAAATAGCGAAAGATTTCACTAGAATAACCAAAGATTTAACTGAAACAAGTAAAATTTTTTGCTACTATACAGTGAAACGTTTCGCTGATCCTGGTAAATCTTTTTTTTCCCTGAATTTTAATTTTATTGAGAGAGTATAAGTATGAAGGAAACTAAAAATAAAATTACTGAGAAATTAGGACAGATATATCTCATGTATGTATATATATATATATATATATATATATATATATATTTATGAATAAAATTGCTTGCATCCTGAGACGGTTTATTGCGTCTGGATATGTTGTATATATATATATATATATATATGACTTCGAACTATGGAGGATTTTTAAAGTTATTTTCTCCGTCATGGTTTTAACACGAATGTCATATATATTTTTACCGGAGTCGCGAATCATTTGTAGTTTCCTGCAATCTCACATATAAGACTTACTCATTATATCCTTTGCAAACATATCATAGTAGAAACTAATTTTTAAACTACCTGTACTAAGATTGCACTTACACTTTCTGTCATCCGGTTTTTATTATATATACATGGGAGATGGCACTTTTTTACTCCCATATATATATATATATATATATATATGTCTATATATACATTATATATATATACCTACGATGCAAATTATATGTAACATTCTAGAGATGTAACATAACAGGGGGTCGATTCCGTAGCTTTTCAACTTTCCATGTTCTACTTTTAACTTTTCAATTCCGATTTTCCAATTTTTATATCCCATATTCAATTTCCCACTTCTTATATCCCACTTTACACATCCTACTTTCTATTTTCTACATTTCACTTTCCATTTTCTACTTCTCAATTTCCATTTTCTACTTTCTACTTTCCATTTATCATCACATATTACCCAATTTTCACATCTTACCATATTCTACTTCCCATTTTCTACTTTCAACTTCCCATTAATAAACTTTCTACTTCCCATTTACCACATTATCCTTCCAACTTCTTACATCCTAATTTCCATTTTCTACTTTCTAATCCCCATTCCACTTTTTAACTTTTATTTCCGATTTTCTATTTTTTATATCCCATATTCCACTTTCCACTTTATACATACTACTTTCCATTTCCATTTTCTACTTTAAACTTTTCATTTATCATCATATACTTCCCATTTTCCATATTTCCTATCCTATTTTCCACATTCTACATTCCATTTTCCACTTCCCATTTCCTACTTCCCACCATTTACTATCCATTTTTCACATCATACTTTCCATTTTCTGCTTTCTACTTCCTATTTTCCACTTTTTGCATTCTACTATCCACTTCCCATTTACCCCCCCCCCCCTACACACTTTTACAACCCATTTCCAAATTTTTACTTCTCACCTTTCAAATTCTACTTTCCACTTTCTATTTTCTACTTCCCACCCTTTACTTTCCACTTTTCACATCCTACTTTCCACTTTCCATTTTCTGCTTTCTATTTCCAATTTTACACTTTCTACTCATATTCTACCTCTCAGTTTCTTTTTTCTACATTCCACTTCATTTTTAATCAACATTTTCTTCTTCTCAAAACTTTTTAAAAAATGTATTTTATTTAATAAAATAGTTTTAAAAAGAAGTAAATATTGATTTTTTTATTGAATAATGAAGTGAAATGTGGAAAAAGGAAACTGTGAGGGGCAATATGAAAATTGAAGAGGAAAGTAGGAGGTAGAATGTGGAAAATTGGGAAGTAAATAATGAGATGTGGAAAGTGAGAGGGTTACATATGGAAAATGTAGAAGGGAGGTAGAAAGTGAATTGTGGAATATGTAAAGTGGAAAGTTGGAGGTAGAAGGTGGTAAAATAGAAATTGCAAATTGGATAGTGGGATTTTAAATGTGGAAAGTGGGAGGTGAAATATGGAAAGTGAATTAGGAATTAGAATTATGTAGAAAATTTGGAAGTGGATTGTGGGAAGTAGATAATAGAAGGTGGTAAAATGGAAATTGCAAAGTGGATAGTGGTATTTTAAATGTGGAAAGTGGGAGGTGAAATATGGAAAGTGAATTAGGAATTAGAATTATGTAGAAAATTTGGAAGTGGATTGTGGGAAGTAGACAATAGAAGTTGGTAAAATGGAAAGTGGGAGCTAGAATGTGGGAAAGCAGAAAGTAGAATGTAGAAAATTGGAAAGTGTAAAGTGGAAAATTGCGGAAGTGGATAGTGGGAGGCAGAAAATAGAAAGTGGAAACTGGATATATGGAAAGTAGGAGGTGAAATATAGAAAGTGAAGTTAAAAAAGGGAGGTAGAAAGTGAAAAGTTGGAAATCGGATAGTAGGATGTGAAAAGTCGAAAGTAGGAGGTAGAAAATAAGAAGTGGAAATGTGAAAAGTGGAAAGTAGGAGATAGAAATTGGGAAAATGAAAATTAGGAAGTGGATAGCAGAAAGTGGAAAGTAGGAATATGAGAAGTAGAAAGTGGAATTTGAACAGTGGGAAATGAGATGTACTAAGTCGGAACTTAGGATTTAAAAATTCAGAAGTAGAAATATAGAAAATGGGAATTGAAGTGGAATGGAAGTGGATAAGTTACGGAATTGATTCTCAACTGTTTTTATTATTATTTGTGCCTTTCAAATAAGGAAATAAATTTTTTTTTTCACTCAATACAATTCATTCAGAAGATATTGTTCATCACACCAGTCTAACTGGGAGGGATTTTCAACTCAGCTGAGTTGATAGTACTCGGGTGCAAAATCATTAGCAAGATTACTGAGAAAATTAAAATCAGATGAACTATTACTATTGTCAGCTGATGGTGGTGGTGCATTATTGTGTACTTGTTCATTATAGAAATTACCAAAATTTCCATAATTCTCGGCAGTTGTTTCCGTTTGATTGGTATTGCATGGTGGTGTAATAACAGCAGCAGTAGCAGCGGCAATTGCAGTAGCAGTTGTTGTTATACCAGGCGCTGATGGGAATTGATCAGGTGAGGAAACATAACTATTTGGTATATTTGATGCCTCACCACCTTGATGAATCTGCATCTGATTTGTTTGCTCGTAATAATTGGCATGCAATTTGTTTCCTCTTCTATAATCACCGCTTGTGGAATGTAATGAAGAGGTCTGATGAGAAATATAATCAGAATTATGCTGTTGCTGTTGCACATCTCCATAGTAGTGTTGTCCATTGTGTGAATTAATGCTGTGGGAATTCATTGTCTCGGAGGTGTGATATGACCCGGTTGTAGGATAAGCGTAACCAGTGTAACCTTCGGGTTCAGTTTGACCAGTGGTATAACCCTGTTGGTTGTAGGTACTGTTCTGCATATTTCTGTGATAGGAATCGTGGTACGAGTTTGTTTGATTATATCCGTTGTATTCACCTGTACCATATTGTTGTTGATGATATTGCATTGAATTATAAATAGATCTATTTGTCCCTGTTCGTTGATGATGATTTGTTCGTTGTATTTGATTTTGTCTAACGTACATTGGATGAATTTCACCGGAGTAGGGTACCCTTTGTTGTTGATAATCCCTTGAGCAGTAGGTGTTTGTTTGTTGAACCGTTTGTCTATTGGGTAATCCGTTACGATAGTCTGTTGATGGATAAACATTTTGTTGAAAGTGAGCTTGATTGCTTCTACTGTGAGGGGACATGGTTCCTGTATTTGAAGAACCATGTAAAATGGAAGTTGGCACCGAAGTTGTTGAAGATGGAGAACTTCGTGGTCTTTGCATATAGGTATGTGGAGTTTGAATGCTTAATGGACTCTCCTGTTGTATTTGTACAGAGGCTGGTGTTCCTGGTGTTGATGAAGGTGTTAGACTTCTTGTCGATGAAGCTTGACTTGGAAGTCCCTGTCCAGGTGTACTTACTGTTGAATCAGGTAATGCTAACAATACACCATTGCTTTTTACTGAACACATATCTTTAGTTGATGGTGATTTTTTACCAACAATTTGTTTCACTGGATTTGGACTCTTATGACCGGCTTCAACTTTAACTCGAACTTCGCCTGTTAATTTTTTCACTAAACTCGGTGATGTTACTTCGCTACCATCTTGTGATCGTGAATCATCGTCGACGATCATTTTCTCAAATGAACTTGAAACGCTATTTGTACTGCCTACACTACTTGCACCATTGCTATTTGTATTGAAGCCTGTATTATTATTTGTTGCACTTAGAGTATTATTATTGTTGCTATTACTTCCTCGACCTGATGATAGTTCACCAATTTCACCGGAAAGAGTACTACCCACATCACCAACACCGGAAATATCACAATTGTGGCAACTCTTTTTCTCATCATCGTCCATTATTAACATTTTTTCACCCTTCGGTTTTTCTAATCCATCCGATGATGTCCCGTCTTTTTCATCACCGTCTTCTTTTGTTAGTGTCTGACGTTTATGTTTCATTCGACGATTTTGAAACCAGACTTTAACCTATTCAAAAAAAATTGTTTCACTGTAATTTATAATTTTTCATTCGGTATATATATATATATATATATGGATAACATCTTTTTTTGTAATCTTACCTGCCTTTCCGTTAAATCTAACGAAGCGGCTATTTCTATTCGTCTTGGCCTACAGAGATATTTATTAAAATGAAATTCCTTTTCAAGTTCCAAAAGTTGAGTATTCGTGTAAGCAGTTCGTAATCTTCTTGGAAGGCCATTTTCTGCAACAAAAATTTAATAAATATAAAAAATTTTGATTACATTAAAATTTTTCAGACAATGATTATAATAAAAACGTCCTACTAACGTCATCTTATAAAATTCAAAATTTGATTAATAATCACAAAAGTTAATATAAAGAAATTGTTTCGTTAACGATCTAAGCGGAATTCTGCGAGGACTCGCCTTGAAAACTTTTGGGTTAAGTTTGAAACTATATATATATAACGCTACTGTGGGGGTATTTCTCGTGTCGAATAGCAAACACTGCTTAATTATTATCACCAAGTAAGAAACTTGTCCTGCGATAACAAGAGAATCTACTAAAATGGGGGAATATACGCGGTAAATTATCAAAATTAAAATCGATTTTTTTAAGGTTTATTTTTTTCAAAAAAAAAAGTGAGCGACTTTGAATTAAATGAGGGAAAAAAAACAATGGGATATAAACGATTTTGTATTCCCCATTCTTGTTGAGCGTTTTACTGAGATGCTAAACTACCCCATGGCGTGCGAACGGATGTTAGGGTGGCCTACGGTATCGTTAGATAAAAAAAAAAAAAAAAGAGGGTGGGACCGTAGAAGGAAAACCGATAGCCTCCCCCAATGAGGGTTTGCTATTTCAGTGAAATGGAACTTGATTGACATGGGGCCTCATCAGTATTACTGTCTTGTGATTGGCTGGACAGACCTGTCAATCAAAATGCATCCACGCCTATATATATATATATATATTCCTCGGGTGTTTTTTTTTCAACCCCTCAGGAAAAATGTCACTCGTAATTATACTAAAATTGCGGCTAATATTTTTATTTTCCATTTGCAATTATATTTTAAAATGATGATAATAATTTTTGGAAAATAGCAACAAATTTTTGGTAATTTTTTTGTCAAATTATAATTATTTTAAAAATAATTTATAAATAATAATAATAATAGTAGTGTGGTTTTGATATTTTAGAAACGGGAGCTTATAGTGGTTTATAACAACACAATATGCGATAATAATGTTTGTGGATATATGATTGTAATGAGGTCGGGCCTTCGTATATGAGAGAATTTTGTTTGTAAAGTCTTGTCTCTTGACAAGACGAAAATATATCAAGCATTCTAGCTTTTCACTCTTCCAAGACCGGACGAGAGATGACGGATTGTCAGACATATTCACAGGAGAATGAAGAGTGACAGGAACGTGTGCGAAGTGAAATACATAGCTTATAATAGCTGGCGCGCAATTCTTTGCGATTTAGTTCCTTTTTTTTTACATTATTTTGTTAAAATTATAATTTCCTACCTAATAATAATAATAATAATAATTTACATTATTTACTACAGGGAAAATAAATACGATTTTTTATATCAGCAATATAAATAGTATACTAATTTTTATGAAATGATTTTAAAAACTTATATGCTTATATGAAAATTGACCGAATTTGGTAAAAATTTTTCCGAATATGTTATTTTCAAAAAGGCGTGTAATTAAAAAAATTTAGAAATTATAAAAAAGGGAGAAATGGAAAAAAAAAATAATAATCGGGAATATTATTTTTGGAAGTATTTCAATCATCGACAGAACATAGTTTCGGAAGCTTTGGAACCCGACGGCCGTCGCTTCGCACTATGCGGTTTTTGATTCTTGGCGTCGCGACGACTTTTCGGTTAATATATATATATATATATATATATATATATATATATATATATATATATATATATATATATATATATCTTCAGAATGTCGCTTTTATACAAGTGGCGCGACTCAATGAGTGATCTATTGTTTGTTTGGCTAGGTCTTATTTAAGTTTTCAAAACACTTGTTATATATGCAAAAATCATTCTCAGAGAATAAAATTTTTGCACGATTTTTTCAAAAAAAAAAGGGCGCATTTTTTATTTAAAATCGAATTTTCAATTAGAAAATAAAAATAGTTTTAAAAAGTGGAAATTAACTTAAAAATGTTGCATCTTTTCAAAAATTTATATTTTGTAATTAATGCTCTTTTTTGAAAATCAAAACTAAAAAAAAATTATTCATCTTTCCATTGAAATATGATTTGGAAATATATAGCAAAAAATACAAGACTAAATTGTGTATTATTTGCAAATCATTTGGCTGACATTCGTATATATATACCATATATGAAACATTTCCGTTACCTTAGAATATGCGTAACTTAATTGCAAATGATTTACCTTCTGGCTATCGAGTCTCTATATATTTTTATCCTTCTGCATCATATAATATCACATATCGTCGTAATGACGAAGGAGTTTATACCATTTTTTTTCTTTTTTTTTTGCATCGAAACAAAATGTGAATCATTTCAGTCAAGGATATGTCAATCAGAGGTGTATTATTTTTATATTTTTTATGAATTTCATTATACGAGGAAGCATAAAAACAATTTAAGAGCGCAGTTATATTTATTTTTTATGAAACCACTCCCAGGAATTATAATTTATTTTTAATTCTACATATATATATATATATTTATATTTATTAGAAATTTTATTTCTAAATGTTTAAAATGAGATTAATTGATAATAATTAATAAAAATAATAAAATAACAGAAGAAAATAAAAATAATACACTTATAATTAGTGGGAAAAAAAAATTTAAGAATGCAAATTAAGAATTTTTCTCCATATAATGAAATTTATATGTGTCTGTGATTAATATCACTCCTTGTAAACATTGTAGCAATTTGTTCTCAGATCATTAATCAAATGTTAACACATTTTCCAACAAAGAATGCAACTAAATACTTCAAAGTTGTTTATATCGCTATTAACTCATATGTATATATACATATATACATTTTACCTTCAATTTCTTTTTGTTCTCACATTCATTATTCCATTTTGTGAAATATCAACGCGATTAACGAAAGGTAACTTAACACTCTCCTGTTAATACAAAAATTATGTATATTTTTGTTAATTAACGTTAAAAAGTTAAGTTAACATTAATGATTAATTTTTTAATTAAGTAATCAATTTTTTTTTCTTATTTCAAATTGTATCTTTTGTTCATATATATATATATATATGTAATTAGATTTTTTTTTTCTATTTTGTCTGTCCGTCCGTCTGTCTCGGAACATTTTTCTTTCTGTTCACATATATCCATCTGTTCTTCGTCTCGTCTGCTTTGTAATTAGAAAAAATTAATCTCAAATGTCACTGAAAACAAAAAAAAAAAAAAATTATCAAAATTTCCGTTTGGAAAAAATTTTTATACACCAGAAAAAAAAATGTAATTGAATTTATATTTTCAATTATACGTACCTACAACGGAAAAAATACAATGAGATACGTATTTTTTACATATATACATATATATGAAAATAGTTTTTGTTTGAATCAAATATACAATTTTATTGTAATAACTCATTTTTTTGATTCTTTCAAACAAATATTTATTTGATTCAAATAATCGATTAATTGAATCACAGAAAATTAAAAGGCATTAAAATAAGCTGCAACGCTTATTATTTTAATCTAATTTTGCTTATTTTAATCCATTTTGGTATTAAAATAAGCAAAATTGGATTAAAATAATAAGCGTTTTGCAGCTTATTTTAATGCCTTTTAATTTTCTGTGATATTATCAAATAAATATTTCCTTAAATCAAATAATTTTTATTTGATTTAATTAAATGGTATATTTGTTTCAAAAGTACAGAAGTTATTAGTTTAAATAAAATTTATTTAATTCAAATAAATATTATTAGGTTCAAGTAAATATTTAATTGGTTCAAAGAAATATTTATTGCGTTCACATAAATATTTATTTGGTTCAAGTGAATCTTTATTTGGTTCAAGTGAATCTTTATTTGATTTAAGTAAATCTTTATTTGGTTCTTGTAAATATTTATTTGATTCAAGTAAATATTTATTTGGTTCAAGTAAATATTTATTTGAATCAAATAAATTTTTTTTTTTCAGTGTATCAATGATGAAGAACTAAGAGTAAAGGTAAATGACGAGAAAATAGGAAAGAACACGCGACTCTATTCGCTAATATATATATATATATAGTCGTAGTCCTTTTCGGTCTCTTTGGACCGTTTAGGTTTCAGCCTTGGTCGTGGTTTCCTCTCTCTCTCTCTCTCTCTCTCTTATATATATATATAGACTATAGACAGGTGGAAAGGGTCACATGATGGCCGTCCCTGTAATTTGTCTTTTGTTTCCTCTGTCTGGCTCGTTCACCAGTGAAGAAAACTCTCCTTCGATGAAGAAGAACAAAAGGCGAAAATCGTCCCAATGAGAGTTCCAAGAAGAGGCATCGGTATATCAGAAGGAGAGGAGAGGGGGCAGCGGAAGAGACAAAGAGTGAGAGAAAGAAAAAAAGAGAGAGAGAGGGAAAATAAACGTATATATGAAAAATGAGTGACGAGAGTTTGAAATAAATGACGGTACAGCCGGTTCCGCGTCCGATGCTCCAAAAAGAGGGACAATATGTGAAAGAGAGAGAGAGAGAGAGAAAGAGAGGAAAACTGCCGGTTTCAACCAACCGTTGCAAATGATAGTCGATCACAAGGGAAATCGAAAATAAACCATCTTTTGTTTGGAATAAATGCACCTTCTAATGGATTGTAATTTACACTCATTTTTCCAGCAATTTGTTCCTCAGTAGGGGGAAAAAAAACGAATTTTTGACTCAAAAGTTTCTTAATTATTTGTCATTTAAAATAAGTTATTCTTCAGTATTTGAAAACTTAAAGAAATTAATGTAATTTTATTATTGCAATTTAATAAATTGTTCATTTAAATAATTAATTAAAAAATTAATAGATATAGCATAAAAGCCATGTTAATAATTCAAATATATTATTTCTACTTTTTTTTTTGTGTGGAAATTATTAGTTAAATTCACTTTTAGGTTATGTCAAAATAACTAAAATCTGGTAACTAATTTAATTAGTGATTTTTGACTCTTTTTTCAATAACTATTTACTAATAATTAGTTATTTTTTACAATTAGTAAAA